ATATATATATATATATACAAATTTTTAAAACCTCTGTTGGAATCACTTCAGAACGTATCAATTGAGGATTACTACAAAGCCCGCAGTTCAACAATTATTTATTTTTGAGACATATAAACAAAAAAAACTAATAAGCAGGCTTAAATTAATAAATATAAATGCATTCCGGCATTCTGACAGTTTATGAGTTAATTATACTTTCTATTTGTAAAATTTCTTCAATCTTAACACAAAATAAGAAAAAAGTGAACTTTTAAAAAAATTGCGGGATTTCCCGGGATGAGAAAAATTTCCCGGGATATTTCCCGGAGTAAAAAAACAGCCGGGATCCCGGGATCCCGTTTCAGAAACCCTATTACAAGGTGTTTTTACTCGTTTCAAGTTTATTTTATAGCTTATCTCCATTCGTTTAGATATCGTTTTACGTCTCTGGCATTAACGCATTTATTTCTATGTTAAAAAATCTGAATTTTGTTTTTATTCGTGGCTGTTGAGGGTGAGTGTACTTTATTAACGATTTTAGATTTCTTTCAAAGTACCGAAGTTTCTTGTACGTACCATCCGAATTGCTTTGAAGACCGTGTTGTCTTTCCCTTTCTTTACGTCTTATTGGTGTTGCTCGAATCTAGTTTTTAAATGTTACTCAGTTACTCGGTAAAACATACGCCGTTTTTAAACTCTTCATTAACAATTGTAATGTTCTATACTCATGCCTGAGTTATTTCCGTGTACGAGTTGTTTTGTTTGGAAAGCTTCGCCGTTATACGTGTATTCATTTTTGAAATCTATTCGGTTAAAACCTATAATTATATGTCAGAGTAACTGTAAATAAAAAGATACCCTATTTGAAATTATAAAAGAAAATTCATGGCTCCAACTCGAAGGAACGTGCTGCTTCCAGATCGAGTCACTGTTCTGACACGTGCTTTATAATTCCCATTAATAAATTCGCCACGATTTATTTTTAATTTTTCTGTTATTTCAAAGACGGATTATGCTAAAACATGTTTCTATAGACAGAATAATGCCGATCATTGAGAATAAACAATATTTATATCAATTCTTACAAGTGTTTGTTCTTTAATAAATTAACAAATAAACGGCGATTGCTTTAACGGAAAAGCAATTGTATTCAGTTAATAAAAAGTTTATAGTGATGGTCTACGCCAGTAAACGCGGATTGATTTTGAAGACTCGGAGAGTAAAATGTCATTCTTTGACTTTTATATAATGTCGTAAATTAGTGTTTAAGCTTATATAATAAATCATTAGGATTTAATAAAACTACTGGAGCTCAAGCTCTTCCGTTGACCCACAGACACGAAATGTATGTAAAACGTTGTTTCAAAATCATTTATGATGATGTTAATGTGAATGACCGATATCTGGCGAATGTCGAGATTCTCCGGTGAATGTCAGCATTCACACAGTCGTTTCGTGTATGTACGAAATATTTGCTAAATATCATTATTTCTCACTTACACCGGCAAATGTCGACATTCGGCATGCACTGATGGTGAATGTTGAATAAAAGTCTGTTTATTAAGTTAAGACAAAAATGCAATTTTCTAATACGTCAAAATAGGAGAAAGCTTAAGTAACAGCAAAATAAACTGTAAATAAACTGTTGAACCTAAAACAAACAGTGTATTCTAAATCATTAAAGAAAATAATACAATAATAAACTTACACATAAATTATGTGATTAACGTTATACAATCTTATTTATTTCAACAACTTAAACTGTTATAGCAGTTTGAATTGCACAAGAGTCCCTTACTTTTACAACTGCATTTATTCGTAAAACACTTCATTTTGCAATGACAGAGTGTATAGCATTGCCCTCCACTTTTCGAATTAGCTGCAGCTGCTTCTCTCGGTGATATTTCTTGAGAAGAAATATCATCTATGGAAAGTATAAATAACTTTTCTTTACAAATTACGAACTGATTACGGGTATAAAGCTGCTTGAGGTACCATTTTTGTTTGTTAATTTATAAAAGTCGGAGTCTTCTATTCCAACAACAACCGCCAACACATTTCGGCAGCTGTACGGCAACGGTCGACATCGGGGACTTGTATTCGTACGATATCACCAATTTGAACAGAAGGAAACGGCGAAGAATTTGGCGACAGACTGTCGCCTCTCTGTCGACATCGGCTTCTCGGGTGTCGTTTCGACCTTCACCAACGCTTATCTGTGTTTGTCGACATACACCGGCGATTGTTCGAATGTGTAATAATAAAACCAAATATTCGGTCTTACACCGACGTATTTTGTATGTGTCGACATTCACCGGAAAATATCGACATTCTCTAATTTCGGTCTTTCACAGTAACAATGACAATTACGTTATCGGACCATCCGCAATCCTCTACGTGTTAGAAATAAGAATTCTAACACGTAGTGCATAACTCTACGTGTTAGAAATATCACAGAAAATCAATTGCAGTTGGCCTTAATTACCTTCAGAACTTGCAACTTGCATCTAAATAATAAAAACCGCATTGAACTTTCATTGCTAAAACATTTGTGCCATGTGAATGTCTCGTAGAAATAAAGCTTGTTGCTTACAGCATCATAAATGCAATAATGAAGAATTTTCCTATTAATTTATATATATATATATATAGTATATATATATATATATAT